CCCCCCCCCCATTTTAGTCTTACTATTTGACTTTGCAATTAGAATCCAAGAGGCTGGAGAGATGGTTCACTGGTTAACAGCAGGTACCACTTTCACAGAGGAGTAGAGTTTGGTTCTCAGTATCTGTGCCAGGATATGCTCACAACTGCCTGTAACTCTACGATACAGGGGGATCCCGGGGCTCTGGCCTTCAGGGGCACTTGCACTCATGTGTGCATGCTCACACAGACATACATTCGCACACATAATTAAAAATAAAAAATTTTGGCCGGGCCTGGGAGTGATGGCGCACGCCTCTAATCCCAGCACTCAGGAGGCAGAGGCAGGTGGATCTCTGTGAGTTCGAGGCCAGTCTGGTCTACACAGCAAGTTCCAGGACAGCCAAGGCTACACAGAGAAACCCTGTCTTGAAAAAAAAAACAAAGAACAACAACAAAAAGATTTTTTAAAAATCAGAATCAAGATGTAGCCCTTGATCAATCAGGTTTTTCTTTACTCTTCCCATTTAATTTTTTCTTTGAATAAATGTATTTTACTCCGAAGTAAGTTCATTCCCAGCTGCCTACTTTATTTTTTGAGTCGCTATTTGGAATAAGCCAACTCTCTCTTTCTTTCTTGCCCCTAAGCCACTCTTATTCTCATGCTCACTAAAATAAGAGCATTTTGACCCAAAAGCCATGTGGCTAAAATGATACATTTCCGCCCTCCTGACCCAGCAGATGTTGTCTCTTGGCACCAGGCAGCAGACGTCTTTGAACTGTTCCCTGGACACAACCGCCTTTCTCTCTTCCCTCCCTGTGAATGGGCAGAATTATCTTTGCACTGCCTTCCTGGGTTAGGACATTCCTCATTCACAAAAAGACTCAGAACATTCCCGAAGTAGCGTCTCTATTTACCGTATGAAACAGGAAGATGCAGCGTACTGAGTTGAATGGTGTCTCCTCAACATTCATGCCCACCAGAATATCAGAACGTGACTGATTTCAAAATGGGGCCTTTGCAAGCAGAATCAATGGAAATGAGGTCATACTTGGATGAGGACGGACCCTACATCCCATGACTGTTGTCTTTATAACAGAGAAAACAGAGGCAGAGAGTGGAAAGAGATGTGTCCACAAACCAAGACATCTGGACATTGCCAACATCCTCCAGAAGCTGGGAGAGAGACTCGGGACAGGTTCACTTCCAGCCCTGGGGACACCCTGAGTCCTTAAGTGTGAGAATGCACATGTCTCTCATGTAGAGGGCAGCTGTAGGGCTCCAGTTCACCCTGGACTCCTGTCTTCCTGAGCCTCTTCATTACTGGTCTTTCATCCTTGGATCAGCTGAGACAGAGGAGGGGTGTCTGTGTAAGCCTGCCCCAGCTGAGCCAGGGGAGGGGTGTCTGTGTAAGCCAGCCCCAGCTGAGACAGGGGAGGGGTGTCTGTGTAAGCCTGCCCCAGCTGAGACGGGGAGGGGTGTCTGTGTAAGCCGGCCTACAGCAGAGCATAGTAGGCCCCTCAGGAATGCACACATCAAGGCAGGACGAGATTTCTCCTGTTTCATGACAAATCTGTCCTTGTAGCAGGACTATTTACAGCCCCTTCTGGTTTTAAATACCCAGGGCTCTGTCATCAAGGGATAGAGTGGGTCGTAATTCCAAAATTTCAGACCACCAGGCTTTCAATCGTGGCCTCACCATTTTTTTTTTTAGAGGCCTAATTGTGGACAAGCCACTAACCATTTTGAAGCCCTATCTGTAAATGGAGACAACCATCGTTTACACCCAGTGTATCTTAGGGAGTTGATGGTGGGGTCCAGTGAGATGATTTACGGAAAAACACTGTTTCAACTGTGAGCCTCTGGGGAGATATTACCAATCACTAGTGGTTGCCCCTGGACCAGGAGGGACAGTGTGAAGCGGGGAGGGGGGGGTGCATCTCATTCTGTATCCTTCTTGTTTGGTGTGTCGGCTCTGGGCCTTTTGATTGCTTAAGATGTATTTTATTATTTTAATTATGTATATGGGGGTGGTATGTACACACGACCTCAGGTGCCCCTAAAGGCATTGGGTCCCCTGGAGCTGGAGTTACCGGGAGTTCTGGGCTACCCAACTGGGGACTGAATTTGGGTCCTTTGAAAGAGCAGTGCCAGCTGTAAACTCAGGAGCTGCCTCTCCAGCCACTGTTCTCTTATTTTTTATTTTTTATTTTTTATTTTTTTGAGTCCTGGGGATCAAATTCAGGGCTTCCCATGTGATAGGTATCACATCCTGCTACTGAATCACATCCCCAGTCCAGCTCTATGCCTTTACTAAAATAAAATAAAAATATATTTTAAAGTTTTTAAAAAATTGTGTGTGTGTCTGTGTGTGTGTGTCTGTGTGTGTGTGTGTGTGTGTGTGTGTGTGTGTGTGTGTGTGTGACTAGCAGAAGTCAAAAGAGGTGGTCAGATACCCTCGAACTAGAGTCCCAGGTGGTTGTGAGCTGCCTGGTGTGGGTCCACTGGAAGAATAGCAAGTGCTCTTATACACTGAGTCATCTCTTGAGCCCCTGGAAATATTTTAGGGGCTAGGGATTTAACTCAGTTGTTACAGGGCTGGCCTGGAATGCACAAAGGTTTCTCTAGCACAGTATAAACTGTGCATGGTGGCACACGCCTGTAATCCTAGCTCGCAGCCAGGAGGTGAAGGCCGGAGGGTCCTACGTCCAAGGGCATCTCAAGTTTGAGGCAGCTTGGGGTACATGAAACCCTGTCTTTAAGAAAATGATTTTTTAAAACATTCAATGAAGAACTGAAGGTAAATAAAACCCTCTGCCCTCATTCCGAGGTCCCGGTCACTGAAAGGGAAAACAAGGGCTTACTGCTGGTTGCTGGCCTGTAGCAGTTCTCACACAGACATTAGATACAATTCCACTTGCCATGGAGACCGGCATTAAGGTCTTTAGACGATGCTGGGCAGTGGTGGCGCACGCCTTTAATCCCAGCACTTGGGAGCCAGAGGAAGGAGGATCTCTGTGAGTTTGAGGCCAGCCTGGTCTACGGAGTGAGTTCCAGGACAGTCAGAGCTACACAGAGAAGTCCTGTCTTGAAAAAAAAACCAAACAAACAAATAAAAAGGTCTTTAGATGAAAGCTCGATCAATGATGAAAAGCAATTGTTGCTCTTGCTGAGGACCTAGGTTCAATTCCCAGCACCCACATTGCAGCTCACAAACCTCTGTAACTCTAGACACTAGGTGCATGTGGTTCACATACATACATACATAAATACATACATACATACATACATACATGCATATATGCAGGCAAAACTTGCATACATAAAATAATAAGAGAAACCTATCTTTTTAAAAAAGTGTCAATTTGTTTTGTCTTAAGATCACTATATGAGGAGCCTGGCTGCTCAAAGGACATAAGATTGCCGGTCCAACTGTGGAAATCAGTATGGCGGTTTCTCAGAAAATTGGGAAATCGATCTACCTCAAGACCCAGCCATCCCACTCTTGGGCATATACCCAAGGAATGCTGATTCATACCATAAAGATACATGCTCAGCTATGTTCATAGCAGCACTATTTGTAATAGCCAGAACCTGGAAACAACCTAGATGCCCGTCAACGGAAGAATGGATGAAAAAAATGTGGTACATATACACAATGGAGTACTACTCAGCAGAGAAAAACAATGAAAGCATTAAATTTGCAGGCAAATGGATGGAACTAGAAAAAATCATCCTGAGTGAGGTAACCCAAACCCAGAAAGACAGTCATGGTATGTACTCACTCATAGGTGGATTCTAGATATAAAATAAAGAACAATCAGACCACAAAAAAAGAAAAAAAAATGATTGCCGGTCCACCTCTCAGGTAGCAGTGGGAGGGGATACGGGAACTCGCTCACAAACACAGAATGACAGACACCCAACATTTAAGGAAGATGGGGACAGGCCTCAAACCTGAGCTTGAGCTTGGAAAGACAGGACTGAGCTGAATAAACCAAGTTTCCGTCGCGGACTTGGACGGCTGGCGGAAGGAGGTTGGAGGGCAGATCAAAATGCAGTTCTCTGAAGAGGTAGTGTGCATGCTGCTTAGAAGCGAAGCTGAGGAGCCAGGCGGCCTGAGTTTGAATCTCGCCCCTGCCATGTAGTGCCCACATGACTTTAGTCAAAGTATTTCAGCCTCATTCATGCGACAGTCACAGCAATAGCGCCCCCTAGGGGATTTTCGCAAATATTAAATGCCTATAAGTACTTGGCACCAGGCACAGGATAAAGAGCATGATTTGGCTTGTGGTTAAGGTCCTCCCAAAACAGCAGGGAGGGAACATGGCATAATCAGTGTCTGTGTGCATGCATGACTCTGTCTTGACCCTGTAACAGACCGCCCAATTAGAATGTATGCTTCCGTATAAGGGAGATAAAGAGGCTAAAGTGGATAAGGGAACTAACAAAAGGTATAGAAAGCTACGGTCTGCCTGCTGTGCCTGGGGGCTCAGCCTTCGGATGTAAACCCACTGAGCCAAAGCCAGCACAAATAAATGCTGCTTCCTG